TAACATTTTGAAGGAGGATCAATAAGCGGTCAAGAGGAAGTTCGACATCATTGCTCAATAAGTCAGTCAAATATTCCAGAGGATCAGCAACGACACGCATGAGATATACCAAGAAAAATTGTTTCGAATCTTTTCCTCGTTATCCATCCAACTCACGCTTATGGCAGCCAGTTTGCAAAGAATGCAATATTAGTCGTTCTAATTGATACTCATCACGGAAAAATAAGTCCTCTTTTGCTGACGCCCAGCAAGACGAAGTAAACAAAATTGAACTTCACTTATCAGCACCATTGGAACTGCCTGTGTTCCGTATGAGTTGGAATTCATACGAAGCGTGAATGAACTCAACTAGGGTAAGTTGCAACCCTGCTTGGTGAAGGAGGGGAGTCTAGTTGTGCGAGTGAATGGGAACGGAGCTATGGGTGTGCTTGGTGATGATATTTATAATAATAAAGGTTGGTTTTTTAGCTCTGGCTTTTCCAACTAAAGCAAATGTGTTTTTATTGTCTTGGTTGGACTGCGAAACATTGGTCCGTGTCGAGCCGGATATGAGCTCGGTGCGATTTGTACCTTTTGATTTTGATTTTTAGAAAGTGCGCGGCGCTTTAAAACGGAATGCGTTACTCCATCAAGTGAATCAATTTTTGCTGATCGTTCGGTTGTTTCTGCACCAGGAAACATTTCCTCTAGTGCTCCCTCATGTTCTTGTGATCAATTTGATGGCTTAATTTATGATGAGGAAATGCGCCAACTTGTTTCTGATGAAGTGGCGACCTATATTATATTAGTCAACCTATATTTATACGCCGTCATTCGTAAGTTGTTTACGGATGAGTTTTTGCAACACTACAATTGGGACGGGCGATGGGAGAGGGAATCGTTAGCGCAAATGAAATTAGTTGACGAAATTTTATTTGGAAATTAGTATTTATTTAATTTTCAAAGTTATTTGATTAACTATCATCTTTAATTCTTTTCAGACGTATTTAAATCTGAAGGACGATTACCTTTCGAAAAAAGTGTAAAAGTCTATTGACTTAGCTCACAACCGGCTGAAGCAAAAAATCCGACTAACGGAACAAAAACAAAAATAACTTCAATTTTATTTTATTAACCATACTACTTTCATATTTAGTATAGTAAATTTAGAAAGTAAGCTATCGCATAACATTACATTTCATTTAATGTAAGGCATACAGTTACTCCCAAAATTGAGCGTACGGATATTTTTTAATTTCGCAATGTTTTACATGGTAAATTTTTTTTTGTTAATTTTGTTTTAAAATATGCCTTATGTTTCAGCAAATCCCATTTAAATCCAAGAATGGTAGTGTGTACAAAAATTAAGAAAAATGTGGAAAGTTTCAGCAAATTCGCGAACTTTTTAATACGAATTTCTAAAGAGATTCCAGGTATGCAGTTTTATAGACCATTAAATTTTAGTATAATAATGTGAAAATTTCAAAACAGTCAGAAAAAAAAATTCTCAGTACTTGGTACCGAGGGCAGCGATATCAATGTCTATGAGCAAGAGCTAGAAAAGCACGAAAGACTTGATGAAGAGACGGGAAAGGCCTGGGAGCTTCAGCGGCAGTCGGAAATCCCAACAGCAGTTGAGAAGCTAGCGTTTCTCGACAAGCCGCTGCATCTTCGCATCAAGTAGAGAATCGTCGAGCGCGAGAGAGCAGTGTGGCATCATCGGCTGTTCGAGCTGAACATATAAAGAGGCGTCAGCAAGATGCAAATCAGAGAGCAAGTAAGGTCAGAGCTAATGTTCAGAAGAGCGACGGAGGAGCAAAGAAGACTTATCCATGCCACCTATGTCGAGGTGATCATGGGTTGTATAAGTGTCCAGACTTCCTGAGCCTGAATCTATGGGCACGTAAGACATATGTAGAGAAGTACAATTTATGTCCAAACTGCTTTAAGCAAGGGCATACAGTAAAATACTGCTATTCTGGGACGGGCAGTAGATGTCCAGGCCAGATATTGCATAATAGTGTTCTGTGCCCAACTAGGGAGGTGAACAAGCACTTGCTGATGGTGCAAGACCCGGTTGAGCAAGTAAGGGCTAGTGGTTCATCCAAACGAGAGCAAAAACGTAAGAGCGCAGATGTCAACACAACAATTTGACAATCAAAAAGGAGCAGGAAGGAGCTAGATACATCGCCTGAGGTAATAGAACTTGATTTATCAGAGCAGGTTAATAAACGGCCAGATGTTTGTACACCTTATAAGCATGTTTTTAGTTACCAGGGCGGGGACCAGCAGGTCAGTGGCAGTTATGAATCGGGGCAGGGAGTCGGTACCCGGGTGGTGGCATTTAAACCTTTACCTGGCATAAGGTTTGGTTCGGTTAGAGATAGATCAGGTCAATATTGGACCTTTTTGTGCTTTGCTGGATACCGGTGCACAACCAAATCTTATTTTTGATAAGATTATCAGAGCTTATCAATTATCAGTGGCCAGTGTGACCAGATATATGGTTGGTATAGATGGTCAGCCGTTCCTAGTTAGAAAAAAAAATAAATGCTAGGGTTAGACCATGGTATGAGTCTGATGTACACATTGAGGCAGAATTTTGGGTACTGCCAGGGCAAAGCCAGCTGAAGCTAGTAGTGCCACCTGACTCTATGAGTTTGTGTAGAATGACGAATCCAACAAAGGTGCCTTTTGCGAATCCTAATTATTGGGAGCCTAACAATGTGCAGTTGGTCCTAGGCGTGCAGGTATTCGCAAGGTGCCTAATCGGGCAGGTGGCTAGAACCTTAGATAATACTACAATGATAGAAACCACACTTGGTATTGTAGTACTTAGCCCATACTTTGAGCAGGAAGGCTATGCCAACGGATATTTTGGCGCGAGAGTCCGAGGGATAGAGATTAAGAGAATACTGCTTAACAGTAGTCACATATGGTATGATGGCATCAGCATATTTAGCTTAGGCACTTTATGCCTTTTAGTGTATTCTTATAGCCAAATAATTTGTTATGTGTCAATTTACATATAAGACATTGTTGATTAATGCACACAAATGAAAGGAGGCGAAAAATGTGGAATATGCTTATGTCAACAAAACGTGGGAATAAAGCATTTGCATTAATTATGCTTATGTAAACCAAAACGTGGGAATAAAGCTTTTACAATAATTTTGCTTGCGATCTAAACTTTTATTATTTAGCTACGTAAGCATTTAGTTTGTATAAAAACGTAATCATTAATTCAATAAAGAACACTTGAAATCAACCAAGCAAACAACAGTGTTCGAACTTGGCGTAATCGCTACTGTTACGAACACCGACTATAATGTCAAATGATGAATAACTTTTGTGGCATTTTCTAATTTCCATTAAAACTTCACTAGTGCTTTGAGATAGTTTTGAATTGTGTGAAGTTTTTTTTTTTTTTGTTTTTTCAACCACATGCATTTATAGATACATACATATACAAAAAGGAAAAGGAGAAGGAACTACGAGCGTTGCATTGTGTGGAAAGTGGTGCGATACTTTAAGGCGCCTAGTTGCGAAGTTAGAAGACTTGGTTGCCTGAAGCCACGGAATTTCAGAACTGAGTAAGAAATTTTTCTTATAATATTATGCACACATAACCGCGTCAGGACCTAGATTTACACTGATATACATACGTATGTAGAATAAAACATTAAATCGCGTTTTATAAGTGGGGATGTTTTTTAGAAGTAAATATTTCACTAAACGAGCAAAAACATTGGGCGAATAAAAAAAAAAAACAAATGTTTAAAACAGTTTCATAAAACATTTATTTCATTTAATGACGTGGTTTTCTTTATGAGGTTTTTTTTTGTTCAAGCGGAAAAGATGATATGGACGAAAGCGATGACGCCGATGACGTAAGCGATGTCGATTATGACAGAAGCGATTTGCGCTTAGCACAACGGCGAGGAAAAGGCGAGATTAGAAATAAAGGTCAGGGTAGCAGCAAAAACGAAGGCGAGAACAATGTAGCGGACAACGGCAATGGATTGAGACCCAATGAACCAGAAGTACAAAGTAGAGACAACGGTGCGACAAACGGTGAGGACAACGGTGAGAACAACGGTGAGAACAACGGTGAGAACAACGGGAGAGGCAACAAAACACAACGATGTGGAAGAAGTGCACTTAGAAGCGTGGTTAATAACGACGATGACAACGCAGTGTGTGTGCGAAGCGGGGTAGTATGCGTACGCAACGGGAGTTTCGGTGCTCGCCCTAAGAAGAATACCGCAAACGGGGTTAGCGAAAATAACGGAGATGCAGGCCAATCGACATCAGGCGACAACAACAAAAACGCAGAGGTAGCGGCCGTAGAAGCTAAACTGTTAGAAAAATAAATACAGCTCCTCAAACTCCAGAAGGCCCTCCTGGAGAAAGACAAAGCGATGGCGAGTGCAGAGAAAAGCGGCGATTATATTTCCTTCGAAACTTTAAAGGAAATTATAGCAGTATACGACGGCGGCGATGGTTTTAATATATGGTACAACCAACTTATGCACTATCGCGAAGTTTTAAAAATCGACGACGCGATTTTAGGTGTTGCTATACACCTTAAACTAAAAGGAGCGGCTTAAGCTTGGTACAATGCCAAGGTAACAATACCAAAAAACGTGGACGAGTTACTCCGCGAGATGAAGTCGGTGTTTTCGTCCAGCGAAAGTGTGCTCGTACGCCGGCGCAAGTTCGAGAAGCGAACGTGGTCCTACGAAGAGAGCTTTGCAAATTATTTTAATGATAAATGCATGCTAAGCAGCGATTTAAATTTGAAAGATGAAGAGTTGGCTGACTATTTGATCGAGGGTATTCCAGACAGGCAACTGCAAAACCAGGCCCACCTGCAAAATTTTACGTCGGCGAATGAAGTCGTGAAAGCGTTTCGTTCGATAAGCCTACCCGATCGCCCACCTGCAAAAGTACGCACGGATCAAAGAACCAGATGTTATAACTGTAACTGCACCGGTCACTATGCAAAGGATTGTCAGAAACCGAAGCGTGAAGCCGGATCCCGCTATGCTTGTGGCGAACAACGACACTATGCTGTGGAGTATAACAAATACAAGAAGCCAAAGGATAAGTTCGTAAGTAATTTAAAATTATATGTATCAGCACATTCTAATAGTGATATGTTTGTAGAACGTTTAGTCGACTCAGGAAGCCCAGTTAGCCTGATTAAGCAAATGATATTACCAGCAGGAGTAAAGTTAGAAACGGTCGAAGAAGTATTTTACGGGTTGAATAAGTCCCCTTTGAATATAATTGGAAAATTGAAGTGTAACATATAAGTGTTGAATAAATATGTTTTAGTTGAACTTCTAGTGGTTCCTAATGGGTCTATGGGTTACTCAGTGTTACTAGGTAGAGATTTCCTTGATGTTAGTGATGCGAAACTAAAGATTGGCAATGTCGAGTTTTTGGATAGAACAGGAGATGAAAACAAAAGCAAAGTAGAGAACAATAGCAAGGTTGAGAGCAATGTCGAGAACAAAGATGAAGTTGGGAAAGTGTACGAAGTTCGGGTAACTCATACATTAAATACAAAAAGCAAAGATACTAGTGAACATGAAAATAATCGACGAATACTTGGCTAAAGGGTACATAAGCCCAAGCGAATCAGAGTTTGTGTCACCAATAGTGTTGGTTAAGAAAAAACGGGTGAACTTCGGTTGTGTGTAGACTATAGGAAGTTGAACAAAACGGCGATCAAGGACAATTATCCGATGCCGCTTACTGGACAGGTTAGTAAATAAAAAGGTGTTTACTAAGTTAGATCTGAAAAACGGGGGTTTCCACGTTTTTGTCAACAAAGATTCAGTTAAATACACTTCTTTTACTACACCTTTAGGACAATATGAATTTTTGAGAATGCCGTTCGGGCTTAAAAATGCACCGGCAACTTTTCAGAAGTTTATAAATAAAATATTTGCGGACATGATTCGAAGTGGGGAAGTAATAGTTTACTTAGACGACATTATGCAGCGACCGAAAACGTGAGACAACATTTGGAAATACTGAAGAAAGTACATGTGAGAGTTGTACAAAACAATTTAGAGCTTCGGCTAGACAAGTGCGAATTTTTACAATCAAAGGTGTCATACTTAGGATACGTCATCCCTGGCGAAGGTATTCAAGCTGATGAAAAGGGACTTAGACTTAAGGCAATAGAAAACTTTTCAATTCCGACCAAAATCCAAGAAGTCCAAAGCTTCCTAGGCCTATGCTCATACTTTCGGAAGAAAGATAAAAAATTTCAATTCGGAGAAACAGAGTTAGAAGCTTTTGAAAGTCTCAAGGAAAAGCTTGTCAGGTCTCCGCTGTTAGAAATCTACGACCCGAACGATGCAACAGAATTGCACTGCGATGCTAGTGCCTTAGGGTTTGGGGCAATATTATTACAAAGAAAAAAAGATGAGAAGCTACACCCAGTATTTTATTTTTCGAAGCGAACAACAGAAGCCGAGTCTAAATACCATAGTTTCGAATTAGAAACTTTAGCAATCGTGTATGCGTTAAAAAGGTTCAGGATATATCTACAAGGCATAAAGTTTAAAATAGCTACCGATTGCAATTCGCTGACCTTGAAACTCAACACAAAAGATATGAACCCAAGGATAGGCGCTGGAATTACAAAATTATGATTACGACCTCGAACATAGAGCAGGCAAGAGAATGCAGCATGTTGACGCACTAAGTAGGGTAAATAATGTTTTGGTATTCCATGCAAATATGTTCGCAGAAAATTTAGTTATATGTCAAAGTAAAGATGAGCGCAAAGGAAAGATAAAAGAGGATTTAGAACTTAGAGAAAACACCCACTATGAAATGAGAAACGGGATAGTGTATAAAAAAAGAGACAAAGACTTACTTTTTTACGTGCAAGAGTCCATGGAAAGGCATGTTTTATACAAGTATCATGATGAGATGGGGCACCTAGGTGTAGACAAAGTTGTGCAAACTATAGGGAAAAGTTATTGGTTCCCAGGAATAAAAAAAGCAACCGTTCACATCGAGAACTGCCTAAAGTGCAATGCCGAAAAGGCGTCAGAGGAGAGTCGGGTGTACGCTGTCAAGGTGTGTGCGGGAAAGTGTACCATAGAACGCAGGCATGTGCGTCGGCTGATGACTACAGTCTAAAGGCACTGGAAAACAGTCCGCTTTTGCGCTTCATGTGCTACAACTGCATAATGTACTTAGCTAGTGTGAATGAAGCTCTGAGAGAAATGATCTGTTGGTGATGAGGTGACTGGTTGTGCTGTTTATAATCCACAAACCAATTTTTCGTATCTATATAATATTTCTGGGGATTTTTCGTCAACTTTTGGTGAGTTTGTTGCCGTAAAGGAGGTGGTTTCGTTACTGGTTAGAACTAAATTAAAAAAAAAATTGCGATAATCTCTGATAGCATGGCTGCGTTGAGGCTGATTGATAAGAAATGTACCACGAATTATATTGTTGCTTCCATCCACAAGCTTTTACATGGCTCTGGGTGTGAGAGCATTAAACTCATTTGGGTCATTGGGTCATGTGGATATTGTGTGCAATGAGAAGGCAGATGCAGCAGCCAGAGCTGCGGTTATTAAGGGCAGAAGATTGCAATGTAAATTAACGGTTGAGGAGGGCCTCAGAATCATTAGCAAAAATATATGGAGTGAATGGGAGGAGGAGTTTGTTGATATATGTCAGACCAAAGGAAAAACGTTTGCGGAAAATGTAGGAAGAATAACTAGTTCGCCATGGTTTTGTAATAAGAAGTGTGATTTTGAAGTCCAAGATATTAAGTTATTAAACAGACATATTTCTGGCCACACTTACGGTAACTTTTTTTTGAGTAAATTTAAAGGGGATGTTCGGACACTTGCAGGTCTTGCGGGGTGAGGGAGACCAGTGACCACTTAATATTTGAATGCCCAAGATTTTCCACGATCAGAGGCACTTACGCCTTTTTTGAGAAATTCAATTGTTTTAAAGAAATCTTTTCCAAAAATGACTTCGGTCTACTCAGGGAGCAGATCTGCTTTCTAAAAGGAGGCAAAGCTGAATGAGGTGCTTTAGCTATGAAGTTAAGTCCGACAAGGAAAAAAACAATGTAATAACAAATATAATTTACAGGAGGAATAAAACAATCAAAAGAAATGTCTTATATTTTCACTACAATTTGCCTTTAGGGAGAAATTATATGTATTAGATATGTATATAAATATCTACTCAGTTAGTTTTTTTTGCGAATATGTACAAGAATATTAGCAAGAATAGGTTGTAACCATGAAAAACAAAATGAGTAGAATATTTATCTCAGTTACGTACATTGCCTAAAGAAAAGAAAGGAAAAGAAGTCCAAAATTTATTGTATAGTATCCGCAATTTATCTTCGTCCGAACGTTCACTTGCAAGAAATGCTGTTGCTTGATACATTTTTAATTAATTCTATTAAAATATTTTATTTTTGAACTTTTATACACACAAAGTAAACAAAACAATTTTGACAGATCTTTTCGGGCGAATAACGTAAGAACGTAAGGATGGACGAAAATTATCATTCGAGATAGAGACTTCGGAATTCAGACGATTTCGTTTTTGTCACGAATCGTTCGTCTGGCTGTTCGTTCGAGATAGAGAATCAGGGGTCGAATCGTGACAGATGTGAACGAGTCGGCAATCGTACGAACATAAATTACGTGATCGTTTAATCGAATGAACAATATAGGCTGTTAATTAATTCATTTTTGCGTCGCTTTAATTAAAACATTTACTGATAAATTTGTTACAACAATCTGGAGGTCAGGTCAGTCTTGGCTAGACAGTGGTTTCATTGTTTCTTCATTTTCCTGGGTAGTAATAAGTAAAAAATTCCATAGTGCCGGTTAAAAAAACAAGGGAAGCTGCCTCTTAAGGCGGGCAAAGAAAGAAGGGCCATGATGGCGTCGTCGACTTCTTGGTCGGCGATGTCTGAGGCAGAGTCTTCTGCATTTGAAGATAGTGTGTTAAAAAAACCAAAAATATTAAATAACAAAGAAGTAACTAATTTTTATGAGCTCGCCAGCGATGGAGGGCTTATAAAAATTAAACCTAAAAGTAGCGCGAAAAATGACGTGTGTCCTGAAAATGGCGGGAAAATTTTAGAGCTAGAAAAGGCGGGAAAAATCTAGAAACAGAAGGTACTATGGAATTTGAGAACTTTCCAGAAAGCGTGCAGACGCAAGAAGCTCAGTTAGCGGTAGTTAACGAAAGCGAACAAGCAAGAGGAAAGGATAATGAAAATGTACAAAAAAAACAGTGCTGTACCCGCAAACATTTAAGGGGGAAATCTTCGTTTTGGTGGAGTCATCTGAATGCACCAATATTAAAAATGAAAAAATAACCACAGGGTTAACTCTGCTGAGTCAGATCAAAGATATGCGCCACAAAGATGTTGAATTCATTTATGCCTTAGGTAAAACACTATATAAAGTAACATTCAAAAATACTTAAGCGGCGAACACTTTTGTTCTCGATGACAAACTACTAAAAAGAGACCTGAAACCATTCATGCCACGCACTGCAGTCGAAATATATTGTGTGGTTAGAGGAGTACCCATATGTTTCACTGATTCTGATGTTTTAAATAATGCCATATCCAGTATCCCTATGAGGTCTGTCAGACGCTTTACGCGCAAGGACCCTGCCACCAATGAACTACATTAAAAATAGGCTTTTCGGGGAATGAGATTCCCAAGCAAATTATATACGAATACACAAAGCTTGATGTAGAATTTTATATACCGCCTCTGAGGCAATGCAACAATTGTGGGAGACTAGGCCATACTCAAATGTCCTGCAAATCTAAAATTAGATGTATCAAATGCGGCAAAAATGAGTGCAGATAGGATTGTGAGGCAAACAACTGTATTTTAGGTGGAAATAGTGGCCATACAGCAAAAGACAAGCTCCGCTGCCCTCATTGGGAAAAGGAGATGGCCGTGAACTGCATCAAGACGGTCAAGAAGATGTCACGTAAAGAAGTCCTGGAAACTTATTACCCAAAAAATAACAATAGATTTAGTATTTTCGAGGAGGACGAATCTTCCTTTCCTTCAGTCTGTGAACAGACTGAGGAAACGATAGATAAAGGTCTTAATATAAATCGTAATTTAACAAAAAAAAAACGTATAGCTCAATTCTTATAAAAGTCAGGTTAGACATGAACCATCTCAAACAAGGCATCCAAAAAGAATTAACAACAAAGTTAATAATAGCCCTGTTTTTGAATCACAATCTTACCAAAAAGGAATAGTAACCCAAATGGAGAAATTGATGACTCAGCTCCTTAAAATAA